AAATGCAAAATCTCAGACCCCACACTAGATTAAGTGCATGACAAGCTGCATTTTCTCAAAATATCCAGGTGGTTGGTATGCCTATTAATATTTGAGAAGCACCCCACTAGAGATGTGGTGGAGTTGACTCTTTACTGGGTGTATAAGATCTTATGGCTAAATTTTCAATAATTGCCAGAGCCAGTTAATGATCACATTAGAAGCTTGAAATTGGTCATGGTGAAAGTATTTATACATGGAAATCAGAAAACACTACAAATCAGCGATTTTTATTTTCTTTCAGAGAGTCATTTGTTAAATATTTACCAGCCTTCCTCTACCTTTGCTGCTCTTTCTTTCTAACAAAGGGAGAGATGAACTCAGACTTTGGCAATATCTGCTTTAGTGAAAATAAAACATTATTTAAAATACTAATCTCTCTGTACTTTAGTTTGCTTACCTCTACAGTAGGAATGATGATAAAGTAATAATAATACATCATACAGTTATTTTGAGGAGTAAATATGAATTATGCGTATATGTGAGTTTATAGTCCTTCTTTATGACTTAGTATTATCCAGGCATTTTCTAAGTATTCAGTATTAATCTGATAATTGTACAGTCATATTTCATGATGGCAAATAATATTGGCTTTTGATTTTATAACAGATTTCAAAAAATGAGTTTATTTCAATAAAATATAAAGTGAAAATACAGTTAATTCAAGAATTTGGCAAAATTTAAGGAGGTGGCCCATGAGACTTTTAGTCACTAGAAGCGCTATACAGCGGGAGGTGTGGGAATGACCACTGAGATGAAGAAGTGTTTTCACTGAGGAGCTAATTTCTCCCCAGACCAGGGGATTGGCCAAATCACCCTCTCCCCTTCCTCTGAAAGTTGAGAAGTTGTGCTGGAATACCACTCAGTTGTTTCCTACACCCTATCTATAGAATGGCAAATATTTTTCTTCCCTGAACCTTTGGAGAAATCAAACATGTCCTTTCCTTCATAGAGGACTGGCAGGAAAGAGGGCCACCCATTTGACATGTACTCTGTAGAGACCCTGACTAGTATGAATTTGATGGGTAGGGAAAAAGGTGGAGTGACTGTTAGCTGGGTGATCTTGTAAGTAATAATTTGAAAACTACCTTAGATTCTGACTCATTCAGAGATCCTAGATTATTTGGTAGTCTTGTTACTGGCCATTAGTTAACTAAAATGTCCTTTCACACCTACCTCATACCAGTAAGCTAATTTTTTCTCAACGTTTAGATGACACCGCCTCCAGGAAGCCTTCTATGATGCTGCCGTGATGAGTGGCATACCCATCACTCTGTATTCCCCTAAGCATTCTAAGACTACATTTCACTGAATATTGTAATTCTGTATTTCTTTGTATTTGCCAGTTAGATTCTTTGCTTACTGAAGATAGGAGCTCTAACTTGCTTGCCTTTCTATCCCAAGTACCTGGCACA